CGGGCGGCCGGCGCGGGCTCCGGGCGTGCGGCGAGGAGTTCGCGTGCCCCGAGCTGGAGGCGCTGTTCCGCGGCTACACGCTGCGGCTGGAGCAGGCGGCCACCCTGAAGGCGCTGGCCGTGCTGAGCGCGCTGGCGGGAGCGCTGGCTCTGGGCGAGCTATTGGGCGCGCCGGGGCCCGCGCCCGGCCTGGCCCGTGGGTCGCACCCGGTGCACTGCGCGCTCTTCCTGGCGTTGCTCGCGGTCACCAACGTGCGCTCGCTGCGGGCACCGCGCCTGCGGCAGGTGGCTCAGCTGGCGCTGCTGCTCAGCCTCACCTTTGCGTTGCTCTGCTGCCCGCTGGCGCTCGGCGGACCCGCGCGGGGCCTGGCCGGGGCGGCCGAGGGCTCGTCGGCCGCGGAGCAGGGCGTCTGGCAGCTGCTGCTGGTCACCTTCGTGTCCTACGCCCTGCTGCCCGTGCGCAGCCTGCTGGCCGTCGGCTTCGGGCTCGTGGTGGCCACCTCGCACCTGCTGGTCACAGCCACCCTGGTCCCCGCCAAGCGCCCACGTCTCTGGAGGACGGTAAGTGGGGTCCCAGACGCACCGCCCGGTGGGACAGGCAGTGCCTCTAGTCGGGTGCACTTCCTCTGACCAGGAAGGTGGGGAAACTGAGGTCCTGGACGGGGAAGGGTTGTTCAAGGTCACTCAGCTAGCGGGGACACTCTCTGCCCCAGCTTTCCCCGGGGATACAGCCCAGTCACAAAGAGCCCATGGGCGCGTGGCTTGGAGAGGGGAGCACCGGCCCAAGGTCAGGTGCCCTGGGAGTGCTGGGCGAGCCCAGACTCGGATCTACTGCGCCCTCGCAAACCCAGCCCCACAGATGAACGGGCGGTGGTGGTGGGAGGCTCTGGCACCCGGCTGGGGTCTTGGCTGGCACGCAGCTCCCACTCCTCCGGGCTCATCGCTCTGTCTTGGCGCCGCGGGGGAGGATGGGAGGCGACCATAAAGGACTTTGTGTTCCTCCAGTCTCCCTGTCTGTCCCGTGGGGAATCCCTTCTGCCCCAGAAGAAGCAGGGTTTGCCAAGGTCACATGCGGTCTGGTATCTGCTGCCCCTGCTCCGCGGTCGCCCTGACCCTGGCTCCGCAGCGCAGAACTTTGTCACTGTCTTCCGTTCTTGGCAGGGGAGATGGCAAGGGCAAGGGTGCAGGAGTTCTGCCTCCTGTGTTTCCTCCTGGATTCCTGCCAGACCCACCCCCCAACCTGGATGGGAAGTGGGTAGTGGCTGTGTCCCCAGGGGTTTGGGAGCTTCCCTAGTGCCTGTTCCACACCAGCCCTGGGGAGGGTTGGTTCCTGGCTCTAGCTGCAGTTTGGCTGGAGGTGGAGTGAGCCAGCATGGTGGGAACCTCATCTGAGGACAGGAGACAGGCAGCCAGTGTGGAAGCTGGACAGGGAGATTCAGGGCTGGAGATGGCACTGGGGAGGGGGAGAGGTGGTGCCGACAGCGTCTCCAGGGCCAACGCCCGAGCCAGCCCACTGAGGGGTCAGGCTTGTGCTGGCCTTGCGTTTCAGGGCTGGAGAGAGACTGGCAGGTGCTCATGCCCACGGCAGGTGGGGCACTGGAGGGAAGAAGGAGAGAGGGCGTGGAGCCGAGCTGGTAAAGACGGGCAGGGAGGTTGGGAAGAGAGGGGAGGGGCAGTGCTGGGGGCCAGAGACAGAGAAGAGGCTCAGAGAGCAGCCAGTGGGAGTCCAGCCAAGGAGTGGCAGGTTCAGGCGTCCCCACAGGCTCCTCTACACTTCCTGTGGGCAGCAAGGCAGTGCCCAACATCCTCCTGGGCACCCCATCCCCCCAAGCACCCACCTGCATGCATTTCGCCTGGGTCTCATGCTGGCAGCCAACCCTTGTGGGCATGATGAACTCCCCACTGTGGCCAGAGGGGCAGATGCCAGAGCATCTCCAGAGTAGGAGGGTCCGGGACCCCCTGTGTATGCCAGGGAGTTGGTAGAAGCCATCAAAGCCTTGTCTTCTTTATAAATAATTTTCCTATACAGCCCCTAGGCCTTCCTTTGGGGTAAAGATTAAACAAGAGGGGCAGGAATTTGCCAAGGTGCTCTGTCCCTCCCTCCAGAGTGAGAAAAGCCCTTGTTACTCAAGAGGGAAGGAAGCCCAGCCCAGAAGCAAGGGTACCTAGGGACAAGTGCCCGTGTTTCCTCGCCTCTAGCTCCTTGAGCGTTGCAGAGCCTTCCATGCTGAGCTCAGTCTCCCCACCTGTGTGGAGACAGAAGGGCGCCCTGCCCTGCAGGGCTGGGTGGAAGGTGGGCGGCCCCTCCTGGAAAGGCTGTCCCTGGAAATCTGTCACTTCTACACCCCTGTCCTCTTCAGAATGTGTGTTCAGGTTGCTGCTGGTGATAGTGATAAATAGATGGATGGGGCAGAGCAGGCTGTAGCTCTGGGAAGGGCGGGGTGCTCCCCTGGGGGTGCTGTCTTCCAGCTGCACAATTCCAGGTGCCTGGGAAACCTGTCCCTAATGAGTGCCGGGTGAAGAACCGGCATGTGCAGCAGGCAGCGTTGGCGTCTCCCAGCCTCTCCTGCCTCACCGCCGCCTCCTGTACATCACACCCGTCACTTCTGAGGCTCAGTCACTGGTAATGCTGCTGCCTCCCTAGCGCGGAATCCTAGGCCAGAAGTAACCATGCATGTGTGTGGGTGGATGCCCCAAAGGGACAGATTGAACGGAGGAGGACTTCCTGCAGGGGGACACAGCAGGACATTACTGCTGGGTCTCTCTGCCCGGGTCTCTCTGCCCCTAGTGTTGAGCCCCAAGAAGGCACAGGGGACCTTCTGTTGTAGTCAGATGAGCTTGCCCCTGAGCAGGTTTGTGGAGAGCCTGCGTTTTGGGCCGGGCTGGTTCAGGTCCATTCAGTGCCAGGTGCACATCTGTTTGTGGGCCACGAACCGTCTTTAAGAAGGGGCTCAGGGCTCCTGCATCTCTCCCGCTCTGCTTGTGGCCCACAAGACTCTGGGGGCACAGGTGTGTTTTGGGGGACCTTGTACCTCTACTGTAGAACCCAGGTTGGCGGTGTGCACCACTGGAGTCGGCAGCTGCTGGTGCCTGCTCCTCCCCGAGGGAGTGCTCGGTGCGGTGCTCCACGTCCATGTCAGGGAGGTCTCTGGAGCATGTGACCCAGCCCCACTGTGGGGACAGCAAGCAGGAACTGCCTATAAATGATGAGTGAGCCTTGGCCTCCCTCGGTGTCCCCCCGCCCCCACCCCCCGCTTCCAGGTATTCTTGGAACCAAGCAAAGTAAAGCAACGCACTGCTGTGGTGCTGAGGTGTTCCTGCTTGCATGGGGCTGTGGTCTGCCCTGTAGAGGACAGCTGGCCAGGGAGGTGACAGCGTGGCAGGGCTGAAGCAGCATGCTGGGGGCTGGGGACCATTTGGGGTTGGTTAGGAGAGGAGATGCCACAGGGCTGCACTGGCCTGTAGGGGTGCTGCTCACTGTGGGGATGTGCCCCAAGCAAGGCCGCACTGTTTATGTGCTCTGGGACATGCCCTTTTTTTAAAAAAAAATTTTTGGCAATAACAAAAGTCCATTGTCTCATCTGCAGTATGTGTTTTCAGTTCCATTGCTTCTGCATGTAAAAGAAAGGTGCTTCCGTTTCTGTTCTTAACTCTAGGCAGGGTCACAGACATCACCTTGACCACAGAGCTGCCCCTGGAGAGGTCATCGTGCTTTCTGGTGGTCACAGGGGCTTGGGTGCTGTCCCTTTCCTGCCAGGGCTGGGCTCCCTGGGGTGAACAGGTTCCTGCTGGTGAGGAGGGGGTGGCTGAGATGCCGCCTCGATGGGAGTTGGTGGGCTTGTGAGGGGGCGTATCTCCCGTGGCACATCAGCTGGGCGGTCTGACATTCACGCGTCCTCCGGTTTCTGTGCACAGTTTCCATCTGGCAGTGCTCCCATCCTGCCCACACTGTGTGGCCTTGGTGACGCAGAGCCTGGCTCTTCCTATCAGCTGTTTGGTGTGTCCGATTGGCCACCCTGAATTGTGGAAGTGGAGTGCTAGATCCCATGATGGAAAGGACCCCAGGATGCAGGAGCAGGCGCCTGCCTGGTCACCAGCTGCAGCGGGATCTCCTGCAGCCAGAGCACTCTCTCTCCCAGGGGCTGAGGGAGCTGATGGCAGAGGCCTGCGCTGTATGCATCTCCTTGCAATGTATGGCTATTCCTCCTGTGCTCACGCTCAGGTACAGACATGCGTGGTCACCACGAACACAGGTACCCATATACCCTTGTGCACACACCCACAACACAGTCCTCTCACGTACTGCCACAGCCATCCTCACTACATACACAGGCAAACACGTGCACACAGTGACATTAACACAACCCAGCATGTGCTCACACTTCGTAACTCTGTACCTACCACACAGACATGCCTGTCTACACTCACGCTCACTTTCACACTTGTACACATACTCACTGACTACCCCTTTAGTCAGGCACCCTTGTGTGTACACAGAGCCACACTTAAGCATGATCATACACACTTAAACAGACACACCCACCTGAATGCTTGCACACATGCACGCCCACTGGTGTGCCACGCTTGCATCGGTAGGCCCTGCTGTCCCCTCTGTGTGGCAGCTGCAGGGCCATGGCCGGGGCCCAGCTGAGGCCCTCCCTCCACACTGCTCTAGGACCTTGGGGGCACCTGGGTCTGCACTGTGCATTGAGGAGCCCAAGCTCAGGCTGGTGTGGGATCCTGGACCTTGGGGTGGGAGGAAAGGGACACCCTTAGTTTACCAGGGCTGAGGTGGGCTGCATCCCACCCCCCCAGCTGACTCCCAGCAGCAGCCCTCTCTGCTGTGAACAGGGGCTCAAGCCTGGCCACTGGACCCCTTTCTTCAGCGTACTGGGTCATCTGTTTGTTGTCCTGTCACAAGTCACCTGTGACACATGCCTACTGCTCTGCCCTTTGCTTCCTGCAAGCTCTGGTCCTGCTAGAACTGGGACACGGTTGATCACACAGTGGCTTATTGGGGGCCCGATGCCCCTGTGCCCACATGAGGCATGCAGCTTGGACATGCAGCATACCAGCTTGTGGCAGGGCCCTCTGGCCCTCACTATGGGGCTTGGGCTAGCTCAGTGCACCAGTCCTGCAACCCTGCTTTGCCTCCTGGCTCCCCACGTGACCCTCAAGTGTCCATTGCAGGAGTGGGCCCTGTGGTGCCTTCGCGCCTGTGCCTCGTGTGTTCTCTGGAGGGTGCCCCCAACCCACTCCTGCAATTTAGAGCAGGGCCTGGAGCTCTTGGCCTGTGCTTGGCACTCAGCTCTTCCATGAGAAGTGGTGCCCTGAGATGCCCATCGTCCACCAGCCCACACCCCTGGGAGGGCTGCTCTACTGCAGTGTCGTTGACCCTTGGGAGCATCGTGGTCACAAGTGTGCTCTTGAGTGAGCTGCTGGTGGGTGGGGGAGGCATGCAAGAGATGCCAGGCAGTGGCGACTGTGAGCAGGGATTGGGGGCTGCCTCCACAGTGTGGGATGGGGAGGTACCCTGCCCATCTGCATGCGACTCTGCGCTG